CTTCAGACTAAACAGTCCCAGCCCTCTCAGCTGTTCCTCATATGACTTATTCCTCATATGACCCTTCACTAGCTTCATCGTCCCTCTCTGGACACACTCCACACCTTGATGTGTTTCTTGTATTGAGGGGCCCAAAACTGGACACAGCACTCGAGGTGCAGCCTCACCAATGCCAAAGACAGGGGGATGATCCCTCCCCTAGTCTTGCTGGCTTGTATGGCTGATACAAGCCAGGATGCCACTGGTTTTCTGGGCCACCTGGGCACACTGCTGGCTCATGTTCAGCTGGCTGTTGACCAGCATCCCTGAGTCCTTTTCCATCAGGCAGCTTTACAGACACTCTCCCCCAGGTCTGTAGCTTTGCATGGGTTTGTTGCGACCCTAGAGCAGGACTTGGAACTTCACCTTATTGAACCTCATAAAATTGGCCTTGGTCCATTGATCCAGCCTGCCCAAATCCCACTGCAGAGCCTTTCTGCCCTTCAGCAGAACAACATTCATGCCCAACTTGGTGTTATCTGCAAGCTTGCTGAGAGCGCACTAGATCCTCTCATTCAGGTCATTGTTGCAAAGAAACAATTTTTTGCTTTTCTTAAGGACCTGTGAAGGCCATGAACAAACAAATCTCCATAAAACACCTCTGTCCAAATAGGTGCATCAGGAGTTTCACAGAAACAATAGTCACAGAACCACTCCTGTTTGTCACTTCCCATGACTGTCAGCAGCCTTGCAAAACAGAGGAAAATATGAATGATATTGTCCAATATTTTTTGCTTTTCTAAATTAACTGAAGCAAAAAGATAGAACATTCCCATTAGTCAGCCTCTGTGTCCATTGCTGAAGGAAACTGGACTCCTTGTTCTTGCTTATCAGGTGGAAAAGAAGATGTGTAAAAAAACGAGGTGTGATCTAAAGCTACTCATGAAGCCAACATCAGAGGAAAATACGTATGTCTTTCCAGACACAGTCTCTGTATTCATCAATATTGCTTTTCCTTTTAAGAAATAACCCTTTCCCAGTATTAGTGAAATCTGTGAATATTAAAATCACAACAAGAATACATCTTTATAAGATTCGTACTTCAAACTTTGCGTGTCTGATGACAGCAGTGTCAGGGGTTCTACAGATTTTGTTACTGCATGTAATCATACAACAAATAAAACTAAAAACATCCACCATAGCACATTAGTTCATTACAAAATGCATCATAATGAAAGGAACATCATCTATTTGCAGATCTACTTCTCCCCAATATGTTTAACTGTGAGAAAGAGAGTAGCTACAGGAAGAATCAAATTCAGTTCTCAACTATATGCAAGTTTAACTACTGGTGACAACACTTTTTTTAGTGAAGGATGCAGCAGCACACATTGATTAAGCTTTTTATTCTTTACAATGAGTTATATGAGACTTTTCTGCACTTGCTCTAAGCAAAATATTTCCCTGATACATTACACAAAAATACATTCTGTTTGCTGATGGTAAAAGGCCAAATACACAGTATCTCTCTGAAGCACTATTTAAATAGCTTTTACAGGAACAGTTTGGACAAGGAGTTTTACACTAAGCTACATGAAGCTGTTTTTATGGAGAGAATCTTTATTGTTTTAAACAGTCTGGACAATTTCAGCAACTTGAAATATATGACCACTGATTTGGAAGAAGGATACATTTGCCTTTTGGTCTGAAAAGGTGGTAATCCTTGTGGAATACTCACAGGTTTACCTCTCTCAACATGCATGAGCTGAGCAGTGCCATGAAATCTGACTCAATTAAGGGTTTTACAGAGTTATTTCTTAGCAATACCAAACATTGTTTACAAAGCATTTTCTATTCCTGGAGATCTTCAAGGCATGATCTGGCTGCGAAGAATCTGAATCAGCCCCTTTTTCTTCTTTTTTGTTAACACTCATCAAATACAGTCAGCCCAGTACACTGATACCACTTGCTGGGTTGGAAGCTGATGCAAAAAGCAAGACTAGGTAAGAGTAGGAGAAGGGATAATGTTTACAATATGTGGAAAAGAAATGAGCTGTATTTCCAAGAGCCTCCTGCAGTGATGGAAATACTTCCACTAAAAGTAAACTCCCATCAATAGGAAGGGAGCTGAAGTTGGCCAACGACACCCTAAAAGTCTCACTGGTGAAGAAAAAATCACCAGGTGGCACTGTGACATATCATCACAAAAATTTGCACCTGTTCACAGATTTCTGTTGAGCAAGTGAACCTTTGGGGAGGAGATGCTGGCCATGAAAAGGGTCCTGTTTGCTGCTGGCCTGTGCTGCCCCAATCTGGAGCTGGCTCCCAATGCAGAGCTGCTCCTGGCCAAAGGTACTGGTAATACTTTTGTGCTGCTGCAGAAAACTCAGGGCATATTCCACCCATCCCATGCAGGCTCTCATTTCCCAGATGATCTCTTAAGCTATAAAACATGTCATAGATTTGTAAAAGGATGAACCTATAAAACAGGAAGGAATATATTTTGCCTTGAAAAAAAATGAAGTTAGTAAACCTGGATACAAGAGGAAACTTTGTGGCAGGAAGGTGGGTGAAGAAATGGAAAAGAGAGCAAACCAGAAGTCATTCTCAGAACTGTTAGACTTTGTGGGAGCAGTGTATGAATAAGAATAAGAAAGGAACAGAAACATGAAAAAGGGTCAATCACAATTCATTTTAGCTCACAGCTCTCTTTGCAAAGTAGCAGCATTCATCGAATCTTCTAATTTTTGAAGCTGCTTGGGAAGTTCTACTGCATTTGTTCACTTTAAAAGATAGAAATAAGAAAAAAAAAAAAAGAAAGAAACCAGAACCTTATAATGTTTTAAGACTTTCTCTTTCTTTTCAAGCTGTATTACTCCTATATGGGTGGATAACTGTCTTTGAGAATTATCTGAAATTGAACTCTTTCCATCTACAGTAATTCTTATATGGAAACGAAATCTCAGATAATCATGGTCATATGGTTAAAAAGCTAGTAAATAGAGACAAGTATCAAGTAAAATTTAAATGTCCTTTTCTTAACTTGATTTAATAACAAACTTCTGATTTTCTTACTGTCCTGTTAAGAGAGTTTTTCGTACCATGTTCCATGCAGGTTTGAGTTTGGTTTTTTTTAATATATATATATTTTGGTTTTGTTAGAAAAAATAGCAGGCCACAAGAAAGTCAGTCCTTTTTGTCCAGACACTGGAGAGCTTTTCTAAAGATCTGGCATGCCAAAGCATACCCTGCTTAACGTCATAATTTTCCTTCTAACCTCAGTATCATGCTTATATTCTGTACACTCAGATGTTTGCAGGCTGTGCAGGTTGTCAGGGTACAGCATATGTTTAACCTAAAATAGCTGCTCTGAACTTAAAAGCACCACAAGCCATGGGCCATACCAATCACACTAGATTGCCCCTTCCTAATGGGAAAATCTCTTCCTCTCTAGCTTTCCAGATTAATTAATGTCTGAATGGTCTAAATGATGTCAAGAGCAGAAGAATGAAGGTATCTTGTTTACCCTAAGACACCATCTGAAATCCAGCATGAGGTAAGGCTACACATCACAAAGAAAATGCCACCTCCCTCACTCAGAATGAGATGTCTGTGACTGAACATCTCAAGGCTAGAAATAAGCTCCTAAATCCAAAAGAGAACATGCCAAGCAGTCATTGCAGGTTTGCATTACGAGAATATATAACTCCTTGCATTATAATTACCTGAAAAACCACTTTGTCACTGGAGCTTATCACTCCTGAAAGCCAAATATGTGATACTTTTTTTAAAGCACTAATTTATAACAGTGAAAAGTAATTTTAAAGTAAGTCAAGAACTTCCTTACTATATAGCCTTAGATCCATCATCTCCAGTAACAGTTAATCTTTACCTGCTTTTTCTACATTTCTCTTTTCCCCCCTTTAGGTGCTTGAACTCCATGGTGAGTATCTGCACTTGATTAAAAGTGCATTGCCAAGAATTGCAATTTAGGCACTTTGTGAAAGAATCATAATGTAGCCAATAACCTGTGTGTCACAGACAGCAGAGTAGCCTGAGGTTCACTCTTCTAATAGAAATAGTTATATTCTATTTACTAGGCAGCCTTAATTTGCCATCTGAACTGAATTAATTCATTAGTTAAATCAGTGCTTAGCACCATTTGTCACCTTTAAGTAACATCACTGAAATTTAAATGAGAAGAGTGCATAAACAGTTAATAATATGAGAAAATAAGAGTCCCATGAAAAAGTAGATATATACTTTGCTACCCAATAAAGGGGAGAAGAAACCCCTCAGACCTTTCTCAGCAGTTAACATCTCCATTCGTGCTATGTTTTTCAGTCACAACTGTGAGATCTGCTCTTACTTCACTGTAGCTCTACTCACCTACCAAAACATACTTGAAGATCAGAATCTCAGCTATAAATAATAGAGGAAGAATCAAAATAAGAAAAGGAAAGAAATAAAAGGGAAGGGCAGTGTTTTTATTGTATATATTCCTAAATTGTGTGTGTAAAACAATTAAAATATTTGGGAAGCAATCACTTATTTCAAGAAAATTCTTTTCCAATTTATTTTAAATAAAATATCTCATATGCCCATATCCCATATTTACTAAGCAAGTAATCACTGAAATCCCTATATATTCATGCAAGTTATTACAGAAATTAAGCAAAATGCACAGAGAAAATTTCCATGATACACTTAGGTTTTTCTTTTTCAATAAAATGCACCACAAAGGGAATAAAGAAATTCTTTGCCCAAATTAATGGTGAATTATTTTGTCATGAGAATAGAAGTTTATATTCATTTAAATGAAAGCACATAAATTGTTCTTGACAAGAAAAACAAAGCTAGCCTCAGGCAGTATTTTCATTATAGAAAAAGGCACATGCCCATGAATATCTAGTATAATATTAACAAAAACTGTTCAATTAGCTATGCATGTGCCATTGGTATGAATATTTATTTGCATCACAGCTAAGTAACATTGATACTTTTTTTCCAGCCTGTTTAGAGATATAAAATGAAGCAAACATTATTGCTCAGTGGACAGCAGCGAAACTTTTCCAGAGGACTGGTCAGACACAACACTTCTTGTGAGCAGAACCTTCTTAACTTCCAGTTGTTTCATTCTTTCTCACATTGGAAATCTATTTGAGAAATTGTAATCAATTTTTAAGTAATTTTGATCCAATTGACAAACTAATCTCATATTTTCTTTAAAGAGAAGTTATATATGTAAAAACAACCTAATACATGAGCTTTTTTTTCTGAAGTTGATTCACTTGAATTGCATTCTAATTACATAGGGCTTCCTTTTTCAAAAATAATTCACTTCCTGGTAGAAAGCATTGCAAAATAGAAATCTTAATGCAAAGCAAGTTTTACCAGTGTATATATAAAAAAGTTATAATACTTAGCCATCATAGCCTGAAGAATCAGTTAGAATGATTATATCACTAGGAATACTTACGATTACCAATTTAGTATTAAGCATGCTTTGACTTACAGCTCCCACTACAAAGAAATTTTGAATATTATGCATTTGTAGAGAACTGCCTGTGAAAAATTGCAGACCAAAGGCTTATTTTGGCAAAAATATATTTATGTGATTAAAAATGTTGTTCTGTATATGAATAAAGGTATTAGCTGCAGAACTTGCTCCAGGAGAAATTTCAAATAATGAATCATTAGACTATTACTCACTATTAGAAATGGGAAAAGTAAAATTAATTGAATAAATTTGCCCCATTTGTGATTGCCAGAAAAGAAACCTTTAAGAAAATGGTTAAGAAACAATTACGAATGGTCTCTTGAAATTTTATTGATCATGGATCTCATTCTGGTTTCCATTCTGCCATTCCAGGAACCTTTTCCAAAGTCCTCTAAGGTCAGCAGGAATCATTTTTATGCAGTGGACAAGCACAGATCACAGGAATATATACCAAGTCACTGCTTCTCCATGAAACTATTTCTGAATGATTAAGGTAAAAGTTGGTTCTGTAAACTAATTTAGAATTTGCCTCTGCTCTTCTCTAGGCTTTATATAGATATTAATAATATTTCTTTGTCAGCAGCACAATGTCATGCCCTACAAGAACACATGTATAAAGCATGTAATCCTTACAGTGTGTTTGGAAAAGGAGAGAAATGGTAAAAAGTAAAATGTGGCATATGATGTAACTGTAGTTGAGTTAACAAAGAGAAAAGAACCAATTATCCTTTAAGGAGGTTTAAAGGAAAGCAAACAGGCTCATATAGAATAATGCAATAGGTAAGGATATGGAAGATGCTTTGTGCTCACACAGATACTGTTGATTTCTAGACAGGTTCCCTTGATTCCTTTCCAGAGAAAGGCTTAAGTTGACAGTAAGATACATTTTCTGTAGCTGATCTTGCAAGCATATGTAACCCACCCCCCTTGATAAAATATGACACTTCGCATAGTGACACACTGAGAAAGAAAGGATAATAAAATTATAAAGTATTCCTCTCAGAAAGACTTTGTTTGATTTTAACATGTCCAGAATGAAGATACTGAAAAAAGAACATCTTGCAGCTGATGAGCTGGGTAGGAAAAAAAATAAATGTAAGTGACATGATCTGGATAGTCCTCAAAATTAAAACCTCAACATATCACAGTTTTGGAGACCACTGCCAAGAAGCATGCATGTTCAAACTTTTGTTATCTATTAGAACATGAGCTGCTTGCCTCTTCCACTGCTCTCTCTTTGCATGTGTCACACCAAATGCGTTGCTCTGCCATCACACAAGTGATAGGAGTTGTTATTGTAAATGGTATACGTTGCGTGTTGGCGATGAAATAGGAAGCGACAACCACCAGAGAAATTTTGCTGGTAATCTCTTTTGATGAGATACTTGCAAGTATAAAAGCAAGAAAAAGACAAGATTATAAATGATAGGGTTCTGGGAGAGTTAAAAGGAACAGACTTCTGGTTAAACTGGACTGAATGCTGTGCCTAGGCAGCCAAGCGATGGCATGGTAGCAAAGCAGTAAGAACAGCTGCGAGGACGTGGCAGCACAGACATGAGCATGAACTGTACAAGCCCTCTGGGGACCTGGCATAGTGCTGCAATTGCTGGCCCACAAAGGATCTGGCATTTTTGCCATTACCTGGACTAATTAAATTAAAGATAGCGTGTGTATACCTGGTAGTATTACAATCACACAATCATTTGGCTGCATGGGCACAGCAACTGGTCAGGTGTAGGTGCTCAGCGCTTGGATGATGCACCTCACACAATAAGATCAATAAGTACATTCAGGTGATCAAAACCAGATCCAGGATATGAATTTCAAAACAGATTAGACCTGAAGCTCTGATGTAGGCCCAGCAAGGGAGCGGGGCCAGGCAAGAACCAGCATGTGGTAGCTGTTGTTCAGAGACCTGTGGTCCTCAGGGACACAGGGACTGGTAGCAATGAAGGACCAATTTAGTTTGAATCAGCAACTAGACTTTTTTGTATGAAGTTACAAAACTTGCTATTTGCGAAGAAAAAGCCTATAAAAGGGTGTTTATTTAGTGTGAGAAAGGTTTAAGACCCAATAAAAAAAAAAAAAGGAGCTGAGCAGGCAAACCTCAAGCTTAACCTCAGCCCTCTGGATCTGGGAGCTCAAGGGATCTCTCGAGTCACTTTAGTTTTATCTCTTGTCACTGCAGAACAGCAATTGTTCTACCCTTTGAAGGGAAAACCAGGAAAGAAAGGTTGGAGTAGTTTTTTGTTTGTCTTTTCAGTTCTCAAACTATAAACATCCACTGTAAGTTTATTTTTACAACACCTGAGATGGGAAGGCAAGTTCTGATTTGTCTGTAGTCTGCTGACAGACCCATTCCCTGAAAAAAAAACAGCTGCAAGATCTAAACCCTGCCCTTTTCTTTTCCTCAGTTGTCTACCACAACTTCAAGAACTTGCCTGAACTGTCAAGAAGAGAACTATACCTTGACACACTAAAATAGTGCAGAACAAGATGATTCCACAGTAACTGAATTTAATGGTATAGAATTTTGCAGAGCCCATGGCTTTTATTTAAAAAATATTTTATTTAAATATTTTGTAGCTAAGAAGGCACCAGTCTTGTTTAAATATGTTGAAAATGAGCTTTCTTCTTCACTTCTTAATGTTGGCAGTTGAGAGGCCCTGTGAGTCAACTTAAAAATATTTTTTTTTGGGTCTTGTTGAACGCTCTGAACCTGGACATTCACTAGTTGAATGCTGCCTGTGAATTCTCAAACTGAGTGAGGCATGAAGCACGACAGCACGCAGGTTGAAGGGCTTCAACAACAGCTTTCTGGAAGCATCAGGTATTGTTCAGCATCTTCAAATGCAGTGCTCATCTGAAAGCACTACGGTAATGACTTGTGCGGTCAGCAGCCAACAAACAGCCACGAACAACAAACAGCCCAGAGAAAGCTGGGCAGAAAAATTAGGGGACATTTATTATGCATGTTAAAAATCAAACAGGACACAAGAGGAATCTAACACACCAATCTGGTTTTTGTTATTCAGCTCTCACACAGGGAACCTTTAATCTGATTGAACCGGTGTGGTGACTGTTTGTTTTTCCTGACTGGGAGTGCACATGTGTATATGATAGCATGATGGCAGCAGTCCAGGCTATTAAATGGAGCAACTACATTCAATACGAAGCAAACAATGGCATTAAGCCTTCTATCTTTTTTGCTCTTATACTGAATCTAAAGTTTTCAAAAGAATATGTTAGGTGCTTGAATGTTAAAAGCCAATATAACTTTAAGTTCTAAATACCAAAGTCCCTCCATTTGGTAGCTTATGAGCCTAAGCTACTTCAGGTTTTCAGAAAAAAAATCCCTTTCTGCCCTTCATTATATTCTGATCTGTTTAGATACAGGGGCTGGTTTGAACAACAGCTTTAGAACTCAGAACACTGACATATTTTCAGTATTTAATGCAAAAGAGGTAATTGCATTAGTACCATCCACTATGAACAGCCTGTTTTATCACTGGCCAGCAGCATCCATCTCAGCTGCTGGTGTTGTGTTTTCTAGCAGAATTCTGAGTGGCCTCAATCCTGGTCATTCCACTTGGAAAACAAGAGACTCCCCATACTCTGTGTAGTACTAAATTATGGTATATACTGGGAACAATATATGTGTATATATATATATTTATATATAGTATTGCTACAGTGTGTAACCTTCACCTTAGGCTTAAACAGTAAGCAATCTGTTCCATATTGCTCTGTCCCACCTTTTTTTCCAAAGGAAAAGGAGAACAAACAAATATTTGGACTGCCACAATAGCATTAATAAACATGAGAATGCAACAGCTAGTGTTATTCTACAGAAATGAATGAATAAATAAATAGACTATAAGCACTTTATTCTTCTCACATAATTTCTTCTCAGTGACATTATTGAACAGACTGTTGAAAACAAACATCGTTAAATGAGAAAAGAAGAGCAGGAGCCTGTCTAATTCCCCACTGCAACATTTTCCAATGACGAATGCTCCCTAAATGGATTTAGCTTTTTGAAAAGAAGTCAGAGAGAAATTTGATGTGGCCCCCTGACCCCTGGTAAGCACATGTATCTTCACCTGTCACATAACACACTGGCACTTGCTTACTTTTCAGCAAAGACTATTGATTTTGCTTATTGGCTGCAGGCTAGTCCATAAAGAACAAATTACAAAGTCAGAGGTCTACAGTTAGCAATTGCTTGCATGATAACAGGGAACTCAGCACTATTCCCACAATGCAGTATTAACATTCTCACAAATGTGTGCAAACCTAAAACATTCACTTCTGCTGTGAAGTCCTCTGTATTTTCAATAATACAACAAGCAAAACACACAGTACATCCCATACCATTGCAAATGATCTAAAACTACAGGGATTTTGCCACTTACACTTGTGGTTTAAACAATTTCTTTATAAAGAACAAAGAGAGAGAGGATCAAGCAATGTTACATTCTACTATTAGAAAAGGAAAAATGTTTGACACAACCAGCTGTTATTATAAATGCCATCACAACTAAATCTTACGCAGAAAAAGCCAACATGGTGACTTTTAAGAAATGTATCATCGTGCTACTTCTCTGGAGTCATAAAGTTTAACTTTACCCCTGCCTTGATAGATGACCTTGGGGACAAATAATTTCATTTTCTGCACCTGACTTTAATCTTCTGCAAAATGGGATACAATACTGTCGTCCACTGCTCTACTGCTGCTGAAACCCACTTGCCAACAAGATCCTTCAAAAGACAGTATAGGCTGGCTTTTATTACTGAAATGGAACAGGCATAAGAGAAGAACCCTTGTGAGGATCAGAACTGGAGAACATCAGCAAGTTTCCAAAACCTCATTTTAATTTTTCCATCTTACATAATACTTGACTGATATAATAATTGGAATTGTCTTTCAATACCCAACAGTACTAAACATAAATATATACTTCTCATCTGGTGTATATTTTTCAGTAAGAGTCATGAGAATGACACAGAAGAAGTCAATTTTAATGCCATTTCAAGCTTAATAAATTTATCATAATTTCAAATGTGAAATTATTAATGACAAATTTTTTTTAAAAAAGTGAGCTATTGTCTTGACTTACTTCCCTAGAAAATGCAGTTTTCTTAAATTTTAAAAGGTGTTTTCCATGATAAGGTGTCATGATTCAGCAGAGTTGACGTGATAGCTTTCAGTAAAAATGTTTCTGGAATATTTGAATGGGAGAAAGAAGCTGGAAATTTCAAAGGTGAGTTACAGTTGAGCATATTTTGAAAATCCTAACTCAGTTCCCTGCTGAAATCAAAGCGTTCAGGAAGAAAAGGTAACTGAAAGCATTTTGGGTACTCTTAGTAAGCACTGGCTTACTGTGTTTCTCTAATAGACTGTTTTGCTTCAGGTTAACTGATCACCAATTAACCAAAACTAGTGAGTGTATTTGTAAATGCTAGAGCTGACACTTCCTAAATGTTTCTCTTTTATCCTAAGACTTGACATGGTGAAAGCCTAGAATAATAAGCTACACAGAAATCTGGACAGGACAAAATAATCTTGTGGAGCAATTTGTAAGGCAAACTCAGATCAATGATTTCCCAAGACATGGGCCTTCCACTGAGAACACACAGTCACTTGTGTGGTCAAATGACACGCAGAAACAAGCAGCCACAATGACTTATCAAGCAGCAATGGTCACAGCATAAAGAAAGTCTCAGGACAATACTTGGGAGAAATGGTCCCAAGGTTCTTCAGGCTTTAGAGGTGCTAGCAAGTAACTTTTAATTGCCAAGAGGAGGTTTGTGCCACCTGGGGTAGGTAGTGTTATAAATACCTCATTATGATGAGGGGATGGTGACTCAACCATTTCCCTGGGCAGCCTGTTCCAACACTTGACAAGCCTTCCAGTGAAGAATGCTTTCCTAATATGCAATCTAAATTTTACTGATCAAAATATCATCGATCATTTCCAATGGGGAAATTCAACTTGACACCGTACAAGATTCTCAGCTCCCCTCCTCTGTGTTCCATAGTGAGATCAATCTAAGAAACAGGTCTTGCAGTGCCTGAACACTTTTACTGTGCCTAGTCCATAGTGCTAATGGTAACCATGTCTCTTTAGAAGCACAGGTTCTGAGCCTTCCCATAAAAAAACCCACAAAAACAACCCGGGTGAGAAACATGTCACAGTTTTGGATGCCTTCATCAAGGTCTACAGCTATAACAACTCAGGGTTGCTGCGAACCCAGGATTGTAAAAGTGGGTTGGACTATAACTAACCATCCTGAACACCTAGAGACAGTCTTCAACAGTGTTAGAAGTCTACATATTGAAAAATATGACCTTTGCATTACAAAAAGTTAGACTCCACTTTCATTGACTACTTCTCAGCTCACTTTCCACTTTGAGGGCAACCAACGTGTCACTACGGATTGCAACTCTGTCTCCAATCCACAATTTAAAAACTAAACAAAAAATTGAACATAATAGAGAAAACAAGTTTCCCTTCTGAAAGATAGTGCAGAAACCAAGTAGGGAGAGTGTGCAGATTCATATGTGAATTTGTTATGGTACTGCCAGTTACAGAGAGCAAAGAAGCCTAGTGAGTTGCCCAAAACCTTGATTTAAAAAGCTCTTGAGTTTTTCTGCTGCAGAGGGATTTTATGGCTTATGTCTTCAAGGGTTTGTAAAATTAAAAAAAAAAAAAAAAAAGAAAAGAAAAAAAAAGAAAATGAAAAAGGCTTACTTGGTAAATATTGAAGTTGAGATTATTATTTTCTCAGGTGAATACAGATTCTGGGACCGTAAGAAGACCTACATTATCAGCAGACATGCAATGAAACAGCAACATGATGGCCTTTGATCCAGCCAAAGAAGGGAATATGGCCAAAGAGAGTGGAGATCACTTGACGTCTAAACCTTCTGACCTTCCTGGCAAAGCTCTATAAGGACCTCTACAGTGGGTAGAACTACAGTGAAGAGCTCATAGTGCTCAGCTAGGGATGCTTCCAATTTGATTAAAGAGAATTGCCATCATACAGTATGTGTATTCTTCGTTATTTTCTCCTTTATACAAAGCTGAGAATGACTTATCCAGTTAAGACTAAAAAAAAGTGTAAATTTACAGACATTTAGAAACTATTTCTGTTCTTTTAAACTACTTTTCTTAATTCTAATACCTTTCAGTTTTGCTTAATGTTAGCATTTCATTGAGAAATTCTTGTTAATAGCCCTAAATGAAGAAGAATACTGCAACCACAAAGGAGAAGCAATAAAAGGTGAAATATATATGGAAATCAGACCTTCTCTATAATCTTGTCCAAGATAAAACATCCTCACGAATGAACATAGAGGAAAAAGTTGAAGGATCTCCATGGATTACAGTTAATAAACCTACTGGTCACTTAAGTCAACCCCAAGAATTGGGCTGGTATCTGGGCTGAAAAGTAGGTAATGTGCATTCACCTCAACAAACATGTAATTCCTTAAGGTAGAGATGGGCTTCTCAACTCCTCCTCCAAATTTGTGCAATTGGTACCAAAGACAATTCGAATTTGACTTTTCAAAAATTATTACTGTTTGGGTGGGAAGGGGAAAATACTTGACTGTAAAGAAAAGCTGATACTGTTATTCAAATAAGGCATCTTCATTTCACTAGTAAAATTGAACTATTTTACTTGATTCCAGTATTCAAGTTACTTTTCATTTCTTACACACATTGCCTTCAAAATGAATTAAACTTGTATTTTGCCATTTTGCAATTGGTTACCTCCAACGTGGTAGAAGAAAAGAAAAAAATACAGGAAATCAAGCTTTCTGAACCAAGAGATAACTCATACATACATATATGTAGTGCATATGTGCACTTGTACTGTCTTTATTGGGTTAGGCCAAAAGAGAGTGCAAACCATACCCTCTATGCTACTACTTTCTACAGACTTTTAGTTTTGGCCACTTCCATTTACTGACAACCTGCATCCAATAAGACCATGATTCAATGAATAAAATACTGAAATACTTAATACTTCTAATATTGTAGAGTTCCCAGTTCCATTTTGCACTAGTTTCCAAAAACCAAAGAAGCAAAACAAATATAAACAACAGCAAGACACACGTTGTCTTTTAATGCCCAGTCATAAAGTCATCTAAAATACATGATTATTTAGAATATATGCTAAAGCTATCACTGACACACTGGAAAATACTGTGTTTTATTTTCTGAACACTGTTCTTTTGACAGTGAAAACCTTTTTATAAACCATTTTTATAAATTAATAGTTTTGAGTTGAACACTTGGAGGGCAACTAAGAGACACTCCTGGATTTGCAGTTGGACCATGTTGCACTAAAAATCAACTATTCAGTTTAGCTGTATCCTCTAAAAGAAATTTTGAAAATACCTATGGTTACTATATAATAAATAAAATCCCTTCCCATAGCTAAGGCTAAGAAATTTTAAATAGAATTGTTACGTGCAAGATATCTAACTGTACCCTAAAAGCTGTAGCTTAAGGACGTTACTAAGAGTTACGAACAGTTAGTGAGCCAATTTTTGTTTCAGGTAAAAGAAAGCATTTCAGATTTATTTCAAACAGTACAAGTCAGTGCTACTGTTTAAAATTCATCACAGAACATTTCAGAAAGACTGCTTATCTATTCAAGCCACACATTTAAGTGAACTCTTACTAAATTCTCTATGTACAGATCAGGAATACATGTACTCTGAATAAAAAGAACTTCATCTGACAAATTAAAGAAAGAGAGAGTGAGTGAGGGGGAGAGTGCGGGGTGTTCAGCAGAGTCCAAACGTGGAAATCTACTGCGGCTTGTAAAGCCTGACAGTGTAATATGTCAGGCAAGGAAAGCCTGGGGTACCACAGCCAAGTCGTGCTTGTTCCCATGATGTGATTTAGTACCTCAGAACCATGCAGCTTTGCAGCACGTGGACATCTTATGGTGTCAAGTGAAGGGAACAGATTTGTTGCCGCTCGCTGCCAGGAGCGGTCCCGACAAGGGACATTTTCGGTCTTGGACAATGATTGCTGTTACTAATTCTACTGTGAAACGTGCGGAGCATCTGCATGGGGACTTTGAGAAAGTGCTGCCAAAACAGCTCTCACTTTATGCTGTTGCTCCTGGTGTCTGGTTGAGGCAGTGATGAGACAGATCATATGACTTAAGCCGTTGCAAGACCTCATCACTTTTCATGGGAGAACGGAAAAGTGCTGATCCTGAGGCTTTTATGCTGAGGGAAAGCAGATAAAAATCTGCAGGTGTAACTCAAAAAAATTGGTATGAGAAGCACAAAATGGGGTAAATAAGGCTGAATTTCTAAGGAAAACAAATAAAGATCAAGCGTGTGATGGCAAGTAAACGAAAAGAAGAAGAATTTAATGATATAAGCATAGAACTGTGCATTGTTAATCTAAGTGGATAGCATTTTGATTTCCAGAGTTTTAAGGTACAAACAATATTGATACAAACAAGCACAAAGATGTATGGATGTAACCATTTCTATTTTATTTTTCCAATGAAAAGGAACTAGTGATAATTGACTGTAACTCTGCCTGGCTCCATCCCTAGAGAGACATAATCATTTTGGATATATGAAAATAGATTGCTCATTCTAATCTGCTATTGTTTTATACTCTTTGGGGCCCACTTCTCAGCTGGTGATAATCAATGGTATTAGTCATTGCAATACAGGGAGCTGATTTATTCTATCAAGGGTTCTGACCTTGAGCAAAACTCATATAACCCATTTAATTCTTTTCCTAGTAGTAGCAAACTTAACAAGGCTTGAACAAGAAGTTATCTCCTCTCATCCAGTGTACCAGGAAAAGCTCACAAATGCTATCCATACACTGCTGAATCATACCAAGAGCAGTCACCAGAACCTATGCAGTTGAGGTTATGACTCCAGGTCCCCTAAACACTTGAGTTTTCACTTTGAGAGCTCTTCAGAAGTTCTATAGAGATGTCAAGAAACTGGTATTTTAGAGCCAAGGCAAGAGCAGTTTGTTTTTATGCATGTCCTCAACCATTACCAAGATATTCATCTTTTTCTGTGCCTGTATTTTCTTGGCCAGAGTTATCATGCCTGCCATTTAAGACTGCCATAAAACTACATGAAGTTTACCTGGGCTTTTCTAATTTGGGCAACAAAACAACTCAAATACAGAGAGCCTTTGCCCCCCCCCAGTGTTAACTGACCCCATCTTACTTGAATTATGGGTCTGAAAAAAAAACCCAGAAATTGGCTGCATTTAAGTGTTGAATAGCATTTCAATCCAATTCCAAGTGTCTAAAGGGAGCATGAATTGGGTATGAATTCCATTACTCAGTCACAATATTATTAGCAGGGGAGGAGCAAGGTTTATCACTGTTGTCAGCATGATTATACAGCTTTCTCATTTGCCTTATCTCAGAGAACATACACAGCATGGTCTTGATCAGGTTTGTCATCTTCTCAATGCCTAGGCCATGATGACAGTCAAAATGAATGAACAGATCGGCACTTTGAAGTGCTCATTGATATCTTGAGGTCAGATGTTTCTTGCACGTATCTGGACCATTTCCAGACATATGGGAAGCAGCAAGAGCAACGGTAGCACAAGTGTCTCTGCCACTCTTCCTCAGCTCTACCCTGCTCCTTCAGCGAGTGGCCGGTCTGGTTAACACAAACCAGAAGTCAATGCATACCTTTTATTTGTATTGTTTTGTGATTATTGTTTGTTTGTTTGATTGATTTTTCTGGTTTGTTTTTGTTTTTTGGTAATGAAGAGCTATTACATCAAAACAGTTTGGGAGCATTGCTTAAACTGTCTTGCTGAATCTGAACTACCTATCAAGTTATTCCTCCCACACAGAGCAGAACAGCTTGGTCCTGCTGTTTAGGGGTCCTTGCCAGCTGCAGACACAGGAAAGATTTTTTTTTCCTCTTTACCTCTATTTGTTCTATTTTCTCCTGTTCTAGTTTGTTATTGTTTGCAGCTTGATAAAAATGCAATTCAAGAGAACTCCTCCAAAAAAGGATCAAAGATTAAAAAGATAGAAAAAAAAAAAGAAAATCGATATTATTAGCATGGCAGAGCTCTTTTCAATATGAATATTCAAAATGAACAAATTCTGAAATTCTCAGTTTGTTTCAATATTTATTTTTTCTAATATCTGGTTTTATTAAAACAAGTATATCCCAAAACTGAAGAATAACATGCAGAAGAGCTGCAATTGCAAATATGTCACAGTTCTTGTTTGGAGGAACATTGTTAAGAAGAGAAACCAATAAGAAACTGCCCAAGGAAAAACCTAAGGAGTGTACTGCGCTGAGATTAAAATAGTTTACAAAATGATAAGAGCTCTAGGACATATGAATTTAGCTGAAGGCTTTCTTTCACTCCCTCTCCCTTAAAACTAAATGACACTGGAGAAAACACTTTTCAACTTTTAGAGCTGGCAGTTAACATTTTCTGATATGCATTTTTTTTAAGATCCTTGTCATCACAGGCTCCTCAGACCGACACATAAAACTGCCTTAAACAGCCAGTGAAATCAATGGCTGGCACACTTTGGAGCAGTCACTGGGAACCAGCATGGCTTCAGCAAGAAGCCAAAAGGCAGTATCATGCCTCAAGAGAAGAAAGGTGTGCCACCAGTAAGTAAACACACCCAAAGAATGTTACTAATCAGCAAATATTCTGTGCTATTTCCATAATGAAACCCCACTGCTGTGAAGAACTTTTCATCCTTAAGAGCCCAGGGCTAGAACAGGTAAATTATAAATCAGCTACTGGAGAAGCATCACCTTACGCACACCATGTGGGCTGCTCTTCATACTGGTTCTTTCCAGGGACCTCCAGTCCCGGGATGGAATAGGAATCTGCAATGTGGATGAGGCTTCCATCAGTTAGCCGACAGTAAATTGTCTCAATTCAGCAACTTAGACAACTGAAAAAAGTCTATGAACAACCAGCACATATAATGCTGCTTGGCTTCCTCACATATTCTAACACACAGTGCTGCC